TGCAAAATGATTCAGCCTTTATACACAACATACGTTATCTACACATCAGATAAGTAAATCTTATACAGAATGACATAATTGACATTTGACAGGCTTGCAAGCATTCACAATACTTGTCTGAGCAACTTCATTTTTTAAAATTGTATCGTCTTTTATGCCGGGCTCTGAATCTTGTTTTCATCCTGCATGAGCAAATACTAAACATTAAGAGAAGGTAAAAATGCTTGGAAGGACCAAATTTACAAATGTTAAAAAAATAAGCAACAACCTTCCTCATAGTTAAGTCGGTAGAAGAAAGAAGTGATGCACTACTAGAATACAACTAATGAGTTCAGTGGTAAACTTTGATGCTACTCTATACCAATTGCATGATAGGTTTTAATTTGGCAAATAAAATCCAACCTCACAATCAGCATTGAAGTCTGTGGTCTGGGTTGGGCTACCAAGCCATGATGCCAGCCTTTAATTTTCGAATCTTGTTTTACTTTCTATTTTATTAGTTTCTGCAACAAATGAAGCGTCTCAACCCTGCAGCCCGCACTGGTAATTGCTCACTATCATCATCCTGATGCAGCAAACTAGGAATTTAGAATGGTAGTAGAGCATTTGAATCGAGAAATTATTAGTATAACATTTTAAAACTTGAAATTACATATACTGAAAGGGAAAATAAATTATCAACTTAATTTGCTTTTGAATTGTAGGTAACAATGGTAATAGATAATAAATTTGGTTTTAGTTGCTAAGTACTATAAATAAATTGAAAAAATAAAAAAGATTTAGCAGTAGTACCTAAAAGATTGAAAGAAAGTAAACGCATAATTGAAATCAATCAGGAAGACAAGGGAATTAAAGAAAAAATATTTACTATTATATATAGTTAAAGGCTGAAGATACCTCAATGAGAGCTTATTCGCGTTGGATCCATGTGTCGTCTATTTTGATGTTTGGAATGTGAGAGATGCAGTCCCACTCGGCTCCACTTCCTTTGGTGCATCTTTCCTTTAACTCAGGGCATCCATCAATATCAAGACTTCCTAATTTGGAGATGCATCGGATGGCTTTCATATGTTTCAGAGATTTGCAGTTGGAAATCCTCAGAGTTTGAAGAGAGGATAAGTTTCCAAACCAATTCGGCAAAGCTTCCAGTCCATCAAAATCCCTTACTCCGAGAGACTTAAGGGCAGTTAGGTGTTGAATTTGATCCAGCAGACATTCTCTTCGTTCTCCCCATGCAATCAAAGTCAATCCTTCAAGATGAGATCCGATGAAGCCCAGATCTGGAAGTTCCTTGAGCTCTGTTGAGAAACCACCAATACTCAGCTTCTTCAGGCGAGCAAGGTAGGCAGGGTTAGGGATGCTCCAGCTCCTCCTCAAATCATCTGGAATAGAGATTAGATTATCACAGTTGGAGATATCCAATTCCTCAAGAGCAGTGCATGATGGCAACCCACTTGGCAAACTTCTTAATCCACCACAATTGCTTATCCATAAAGTTTGAAGAGATGAAAACCCATGGAGGTTCGGAAAGGACATCAAACCACGGCACATGCTTACAGTCAACTCTTTGAGACACGTGGCAGTAGATAAATCTTCTCCTATGCTTTTCAATTGCCCACACTGGACTATTTCAATTTTTTGAAGGGAGGACAGCCCATGGAGGTTCGGAAAGGACATCAAACCAGGGCACCCCTCTACAGTCAACTTTTGAAGACACGTGGCAGTAGATAAATCCTCTCCTATGCTTTTCAATTGCCTACACTGGACTATTTCAATTTTTTGAAGAGAGGACAGCCCATGGAGGTTCGGAAAGGACATCAAACTAGGGCACCCCTTTACAGTCAACTCTTTGAGACACGTGACAGTAGATAAATCCTCTCCTAAGCTTTTCAATCGCTCACACCGGCGTATTTCAATTTTTTGAAGAGAGGATAGCCCATGGAGGTTCGGAAAGGACATCAAACCATCGCAGTCTGTTACAATCAACTCTTTGAGACATGTGGTAGTAGATAAATCCTCTCCTATGCTTTGCAATCGCTCGCACCTGCGTATTTCAATTTTTTGAAGAGAGGACAGCCCATGGAGGTTCGGAAAGGACATCAAACCATTGCAGTCTGTTACAATCAACTCTTTGAGACACATGGCAGTAGATAAATCCTCTCCTATGCTTTTCAATTGCCCACAGTAGGATATTGAAATTTTTTGAAGAGAGGATAGCCCATGGAGGTTCGGAAAGGACCTCAAACCATAGCAGTCTGTTACAATCAACTCTTTGAGACACATGACAGTAGATAAATCCTTTCCTATGCTTTTCAATTGCCTACACCAGCATATTTCAATTTTTTGGAGAGAGGACAGCCCATGGAGGTTCGGAAAGGACATCAAACCATTGCAGCCTGCTACAATCAACTCTTTAAGACACGTGGCAGTAGATAAATCCTCTCCTATGCTTTTCAATTGCCCACACCAGCGTATTTCAATTTTTTGAAGAGAGGACAACCCATATACACTGGACATGGACATGGCAACTGGTGCAACCTCTACCTGAACTAGTTCCTCACAGTCCTCAATGATGAGTTTTTGAAGGGACGAATATGCAATGCTTTTCAAATTCTTGCAATTTTTAATTTCTAACTTTGCCTCATTGCTGAGTGAAAGTGATGGAATGCTTTCCAACCAAGGACATTCATAAAAGGTCATGAACATCAAATTTTTGAGAAAATCTTTTGTTTCTAACATCCATGAAGGACAGCTTTTACCACAGTAGCGTTCAATAGTTAAGCCTTTCAAATCTGAATGAGGTTGGAGGTCTTCCAAGATATCTTCATCATGTTTGCATCTATCTTCACTGCCACTGGATTCCTCACTCAACGGTGATTGCCGGTCTTGAATTGTACGCTTTTTACCAAACACCAATTGCAACTCTTGAATTGTAGCCTTTTTAGAAAGTCCTGCTCCCATGGCTTCTTTTTTGTGTCTAACCATATCCAAATTGCAAATCTCTAATTTTCCCCTGAGTTGGCTTAAACATCCCAATTCTTCAATTTGAAATCCCTTCTGTTGGCTCACAACAAATAATTGTAATGTTTTCAAACAAGTCAGTCTACCAATCCCTGCTGGCATAAGCTTCCACTGATTGAAATAAATGTGTCTCAAATTGACTAAGTCCCATATTCCTTTCAAAGGCCTTTTGATTTCCTTGCAATCCATAAATCTAAATGTCTGCAAATGATAGAGCTTGGTGATGAACTTGGGAAGTTCTTTGATTCTAGTTCTTGAAACATCCAAGAACCTTAAATGCTTCATTTTCCCCAAAAAAGCTGGCAACTTATCAATATCAGCACCACAAAAACTAAGAACCCGCACCTTTCTGAAGCTCATTGACATACTGTGAAAGACATCAACTTGTGAAAACAAAGTGTGCAATTTTTTAGTGGCATCCCCAAATCTTGCCGCTGCCATACCCTTACCAGAAATGACATTTAAATGTCGAATGTCTGTAGGAATATTCCTTCCATTGCCATCTTCCAAAATCAAAGTTTGGGACTTTGAAACAGATTGTGCAAGATCATGAATTAAATCATGCATTTTGCAAGCAATAATGCTTCCATAAGAATCTCTTTCAACATCCTGAAATAAAGAATATGATGACAATGCATTGAAATACTTATCACCAATACCACCCTCCATCTCTGAGTAACTTTCACTAAACGGCTGAAGAAATCCTTCAGCCATCCAGAGTTGGATTAACATCTCCTTTTCCATGACAGAATCTTTAGGGAAAATAGAGCAGAAAGTAAAACATTGTTTCAAAGCAGGTGTTGGCAAGTGATTGAAACTCAACTGCAACACTCGCAGAACTCCTTTAGCTTCTTCTATTGAACCCCACACTTCACTATTATCTCTGATTGACAACCAGTAATCCTTCTCCCAATTATTGCACAAACTCCCCCCAATAACATTTGCAACTAATGCTAAACCTCTACATTTGCTAGCAATATCCATTCCAATCCCCTCCAATTCTGAAGAGAATGATGAGCTGCCAAATGCTCTCTGCTTGATTATAGACCAACAATCCTCATCTGTTAGCTTCTCTAGATGATGCATGTGCTCAGAAAGTGTTCCCATTGTGGAAGCTACAATTTCATTTCGAGTTGTGACAAGAACCCTACTCCCAACATTTTTACCTATTCCCAACAAACAACTCCTTAAGGATTCCCATTTTTGCCAATCTTCATTCCATACATCATCTAATATGAGAAGATAATTTTTCTCCCTCAAATTTTTCTCCCTCAAATTTTCCTCCCTCAAATTTTCCTCCCTCAATTTTTCCTGCAGTTTTTGAACTACAATTTCTTGACTTACATCCAGAGAAACATTTTCACCAAAAGCTCGCAACATCTCTACTAAAATTTGTTTCAAATTAAAATTTTCAGAAACACAAACCCATATTATTTTGAAAAAATGGCTCTGTATTTGCTCATTGTTACGCACTAGTTTGGCCACAGTAGTTTTGCCTATGCCTCCCATACCCACTATGGATACAACAAGGAGAGGTCGATCATTACTTGAGTCAATCAATGATTCAATGACGTCTAGGACCTTATTTTCTCTTCCTACAATTTCTGATGGATAAACAATTGAGGAATTTGTTTGTCGGGTTTCTATATGTTCAGGATCCCTGATTGCAAGTCTATGTTGCAGCCCTAAGTCAGTGGCCCTCTTACTAAGGTGATCTAGTTCTAAATTTAAATTCTTAATCCTGTTAGCTATCTTAAGGCGAAAAGCTAAAGGATTGGAAAGAGTAAAGAAATAGCTGACCTTGTCCCACATGTGAGCTACCTTGTACCTCAGATTTTCATATGCAATTTCATCCATCACATCGTCAGCCTCTTCAGCTATACTCCAAAGCCTTTTAAGCCAAGGCTTCAGATCAGGGCGGTCTATCATTCCCTTCTGCTCTGCATCCTGCAACACCCCCTGGATCATTTCCAGCGTCTCATGAAACCTCCTCAGCTCCTGCCTGAATCCGACCGCTAAGTTGAGCTGCTTGTTAGCAACTGAAATCACCTTGGATAAGGTGACATCCGTAACAGAACTAAGGATAGGATCAGCAGCCATATTTGGTTCGGTAGTTTGGAAGAGAGAAATGCTTGGAGATTGTACAGCACAAAAGAGGAGAGAACAAATTGTGTTGGGGTAGAGACAGCCAGCTTGAGACAACTTTTATACACGCGGTGGCGAGGTTACACTAAATGTATATACTCTTTATTAATTTTTAACAAGTTTAATTTAATTTTTTAATTTTTTTTAAACATAAAGTTTAGTAGAATTTAATTATTATATAAATAACAATTAAATCTTTTATTAAATAAAAAAACTCAATAAAAATTTTATAAAAAAAAATTTAATTATTATTTATATAAATTATTAAATTTTTATTAAAAATTTTAAAAATCAAAATTAAACCTACTAAAAGTTTTTTTTTTTTTTAAAGAAAAGAAGAAGGGAGGAGAGGAAAAGAAGAAGAAAAGGAAATTGAGAAAGGATGCTGAAGATGAAAATTGGACCTTGATCTAATCAAGGGCATTGCGCCTCCTTTACATATGTTTAAGGAGCAAGATGAATGAAATAGGTGTGTGATACGGGAGAGGAAGTAGAAGCTGGAGAAAGAAAACATGTAGGAGGGAGAAACGAGATCTGGAAGCTAGGGGAAGAGATAACTAAGGGGCATTAAAGTAATTTTAAAATTTTTATTTAATAATTATTTAAATTAAGTATGTTTCACTTAATTCAAA